ACGAGATGTCTGCGTACAGGAATGAATGGATGAGAAAAACATTACGCCGACCCCAAATAAATGGAATGTAGAAGAAATATTATAAATCCCACCAGTTATAATATTTGCTTGAAATAAATATATAAAATTATATATATGTCAGCAGCAGTTGACGTTAAATAATAGCCACGTACAAAATAAGAGACTTTGTTATAATCATAAATACTTTGCGAATGAATCGTTATTACGAACAACAATAAGTTGACAACAAAAAAATATAATAAAAACACAAGTGGGTTTGAGATCATTAACTTGAACGAATCACTTGTTGCTTGCGAAGTACTTGCGTAATATTAAAATATAAAACAAGTTTTAGATGATAATAGCTGACCCCGCAAAGGTTGTTTTGGCATATACCTAAATTAAAATCGCTATTAATAAATAGGGGTTGGTAATAAAAGTACAAAAATTTAGGGTTATATGTATTTTTAAAGCCACATTATAATAATTAAAAATTGGTCTAAAAAAAATATGTTAGGGGTGGACAACCCTTATCACTTAGGGGTATGAAAAATAGATAATAGCCAATTCTCAGACCTACTGAATATGCATACAAATATTCATGAAAATCGGTCAAGCCGTTTCGAAGGAATATGGTAACTAACATTGTAACACGAGAATTTTATATATAGTTAAGATTAGAACATGAAAGACCGTTCTCTGTCCATCCTTAAAGATAAAAAGAATAAAGTAATTAAAATCTACTTAGAAAAAGAACATTATTTGTTTTTATACAATAACAGCAGAGGCTGCATAATGTATTTAAATAAATATCAGAAGTCCTGTTATTTCAAATTAACAGCTTTTCACTAAAATGTATATCTTATATATAAAATTCTCGTGTCACAGTTTTCGTTCCCATTCTCCTCCGAAACGGCTCGACTGATTCTCATGAAATTTTGTGAGAGTATTGAGTAGGTCTGAGAATCGGCCAACATCTACTTTTCATCCCCCTAAATGTTAGGGGTAGTCCAACCCTAAATTTTTTTATTTTTATTTTAAGGCAAAACAACGTTTGCCGGGACAACTAGTTAAAGTATGTACTTATACAAGGGCGGATTCAGCTTTGGGGTCAGGAGAGGGTCATATATTCGTGGTCAAGTCAAGAACTTATAATTTAATTAAACACATAATAATTTGTTCATATACACGTACATATTGCCATCTTCTCTTGAAGACATCCAGAGAAGCACTATTTAAATATAATTAATTAAATAATGAAGGTATGTAGTTACATAAAATCTGTATGGTGACAAAATATATTTAAAAAATCATTATGTTCAATTAGTGGTCCACCTAAGTCCCCAGGACATAGGTGGACCGCTCAGAGGTCATGACCACCATGACCCCTGGATCCGCCATTGTACTTACATCAATTTTAAAATATTTAGTGTGTTTGTTCTTGTAATCTCTAAATCGGCTGAACCGGTTATGACGGGCAATTACCAGCTTTTCTTATAAGAAGTTACTTAGGCTACTTTTACCATCACTAGAGGATGAAGTCAGGCCAGTTAGCCCATTGCGACAAATTCACCAGGAATTTATCACAATGTTTTCCAGGAGAAACCGCGTGGTCAACCTGACATGACAGCCAGCAATGGGGTTTTTAGTCCACATTACTAACAGTCCCTTCTTATGACATATTCATTCATCCATCAGCCCGCTGTAGTCCACTGCTGGACATGACCTCTCCTAAGGCACGCCACTTGATACATATAGGGGTAGGGAGAAAGGGATTTTTAATTGGATTAATAAACCAATTGCTGACAATGTACCATGTCAGGTTGACCACGCGATTTCCCCTGGAAACCATAATGTTAAATTTCTGGTGAATTTGAGACGATGGGCTAACTGACCTGACTTCATGCTATGATAAGATTATCATCCTCCACTGGTGCCCCGCCAGCGTAATCCGTTTGCGCAGGCGGGTGCACCATTCCATCATCAACCATAAGGATACACCCCGGGATACCATCGTGATAAATTCCCAGTGAATTTGTCACGTTGGGCTAACTGATCTGACTTCATGTTCATCTTATCATCCTCCACTGGTGCTCCGCCAGCGTAAACCGTTAGTGCAGGCTGGTGCACCATTCCATCATCAACCATAAGGATACATACAGGGAAAATAATACAAAATATGTGCAAAACGGTATATATTTGTTACATTATCTTATACAATATATAAATAGCTTAAGTACTTAGGTACGCATGAGATTCATAAATATATGGACGGATTAGAAACTTCAAAACTTGCCTTTGTCAAATACATAACGCGCAGTTCATTCAGGTTAATCGAGATAAATAAGGTACTTAGAATAGCTGGTACTTACAGGGGCAAATCTACCTAGCTCGGGTCAGCTAGAAAAAAACAGATTTAGATGCCTTAAAAATTACAATACAAAACTGTCATGTATTTACTTTGTCATGCAATAATCGTATTCCTTTACAAAGAAAAATATTCAAAATTGACAATGTCTAGTGATTTTGACAAATAATATATTTTTTCCTAGTAAATACATATCTGAACGGTATAATTACGCTACTAAATACAAAAGAACAAAAAGATAAAAGAAAAACTGGGAGAAATATGATGTCAAATAAGTGTAAGACAAAATAGGCGCGGGTCAGCTAGTAAAAAATAGATTTCGATGCCTTAAAAATTACTATACAAAACTGTCATGTATATACATTGTCATGCGATAATTTTATTATTTTACAAAAAAAAGTTCAATAATGATCATTTCTAGTGATTTCTACAAATAATATATTTTTCCTAATAAATAAATATCACTGGATTTTAGGCGTTTGGCACCAGCAGTATCAGATAGAATGTAAGGGCTACCTTCTTATACCTTCAATTCTGATTACAACCTAATATTTCTACTACAACAGGATCAAAAGAATTGCATGTTGTTCTACTGGGCTTCTCTTTTCAAACAGTTAGCACTCGCGACCAACCAAAACCTGATCCTTTACAAAAAATCACCTGCAAATTAGGGCTAAGCAAGTGTTGAACTTGGGACTTCGTTGGCAGATAGCTGTGTCTGCAAACTGTGGAGACACATGGAAAAAGATATTTCATGGAACTATTTCCATGAAATATCTTTTATAGTATTGTGTACCTATTACACAATACTATAAAGATATACATATATATATACGTGTACAAAGAAATGAAATTAAGTGTCTGTTTGTAATTTCAAATTAACAGCTTTTCACTAAATGCATATAAAAGCACTTACATCAGAAAATTAATTTAAAATCTTGTCAAATGTCTGTCTGACGTGTTAATCTCGGAAACGACTGGATCGATTTAGACGGGACTTTCGTATACAGCTAATGTTATAAGTTTACTTTTATTTTAGAAATTCTATTAAAAAATAAACTTCACGCATACGAAGTCTCAGTTAATAGTCAGTAAACACTATATGAGCACAGCCCGTGACCATATACATAAGGTAATAAACCTATTGAAGAATACATCGCATATCTAGTACCTACAATACTGGTGTAATTCAGAAATGAAAAATTTTTGAAATTAGACTTTAATGTCACAGTTGTAATGTGGACTTTCTAAAATTTGTACTTTTTTATTTAGCCAGTATTATAAGTGTGGACATATCTACGTACATTCTCTTGAAAACATAAGATGGTAAAACCATAAGAAACATACTAATGATAAACCCACACTAAAGATAAACTAAATGTAAGTGCATAAATAATATTGCATAGTAATACGAACACAAAACTTTGAGGAAAAATAGACAAGTACAGGTTAGCCCATAGTCGTATATAAATTCGTACCTACTACCTACGCAACACAATTTGCAGTAAATACAGTTAGTATACATCAGTGATTCCCAAACTGGTCTATATCGACCCCCAAGGGTCTATGACAAATTGCATGGGTCTACGACAGTGGTCATCTTGTTGTTTCTACTTCGTTTTGGATACTAAACTACTGCTTATAGGGACTGGTCTGCTCTTATCACTACGACTGATTTAATTTTATTGTGTTTTTATATTTGACCCTAAATAAATTAGTGCTGGTTGGTAGTTTGTATTCACACGTTTCGACGAAAATGTGAACTTACAAGGATTGTTTAAAAGAGCAACACACAAGTTTCTTGCTTATTCTTCTTGTGATGAGACAGCTTTCCGAATAAGCGGTAGATTTAAAAAAATGTTGACTATTCAAAAGTGCTTAAATTAAGTTTATTTGAATAAATGATTTTCTATTCTATTCTAAACTTTACTACAGTGAGAAATTTACAAATCAATACCAGGTAAGAAAGAGGGGTCTACCCTAAACCGAAATATGGGCAAGGGGCTACGACACAAACAAATCTGGGAACCTCTGGTATACATTATCTAAGCTTATAGGTAACTATGTAAATTTCATATTACAGATAATAATACAGAGTCTTGAGTAATACTAGACTAAATTTTATGCAAAATATACAGACATTGTGGAGGCGATTGTTAGTAATTACTCCATCGTTAACTCAGGTTGACCTCCATGCGGTTCCCCCTGGAATCCATCCTGATAAATTAATCGTGAATTTGCCACAACAGGCCAACTGACCTGATCTCCTGCTCATCTTATCATCCTCACTGGTGCCCTGCCAGCGTAAACCGTTAGCGCAGGCGGGCCCACCATTCCATTATCATCCATTAAAAATATACAAACATATCTATTATAGCTAAGGTTAAATACATTATTTCACATTATCATATTATTGTATTATATTTTATTTCGTACTACTTATTATTAATAGAAAGTATGAATAGATACATTTTTTATATTATTTTTATTTTGGGTAGGAACATATAATTTTTCAATGCATAAAAGATAAAAGTAGATAATTATTACTGGTACGAATTTCTTGCATTTATATTTTTGGTTTTTAATGAAGATATTATTTTTATTGGCCCTTTTAGTGATCTTTCTGTGACACGCGACAATTGCATGTAGTCTGCTTCAAAAATAAATTATTATATACCTGAATGTATTTCAACGTCAGTAAGTACGGGATTTTAAAATATATTCTGCGGTCGTTTCTAGGATTCTGGGCATTCTGTCTTTTTAATGTATTGCATTAATATGATTGAAAACATGTTATATGTACCAATAGAGTATTATCAACTATTCGTCCAATGATTATTTATAAATGAATAGTTGATATATATCTAGCGACATTAGTAATACTTTCCTCATTGGGTATTTCATGAATATTACAGCTGGATTTTGCGGATTACAAAATCTTGAAAGCGTCTGATAACCATAAATGTATCTACACATACTTATTCTTCAGCTAAGTGTTCAATTTAAAGTAATATATTGCCAACTTTCCACCCACCAAGAGGAAGGACATTATAATCATGTTTTAAACTCACAATTTATTTTCTGGTATCTAATTCTACAGTATTACAAGTAGTTAAACAGAGAGAGAGATATATAAAGCTACTGAGTATGATGAGCGAAATAGCTGCCACATCACTCAACTTGAGTATCTAGTACTAATTACGAAGCATATACTCTTTGGATACGACATTTCATTGACTAATGTCACTAAATTGCTATATTTCATTAGTATAACAAAAACTATGATATAACTTCATATTGTGGAACATACAGTTCATAATTGAAGCCGTTATAGTGCGTGAAACTAATGCTCCTCGTTCCGGGAGCTTCAACGAAAGGCAATAGTTCATTTAGAAGGGACGAAAACGACGGTCTCTCATCGGGATCCACCTGCCAGCACTGTAAACATAATTGGAACAGCTCGTCGCCAACGTACGACGGCTGCGACGGCCGCATGCCCCTCAAAACCCTGGCGGCTACATCTTTGTTACCAGTGTGGGAGTATGGCGTGGCCCCTAATGTCAAAACTTCCCAGACCAAACATCCAAATGACCAAACATCTGCTTTAGGGTTGAACCGAGTCTGGCGCAGCATCTCGTGTGACGTCCACCGCGTGTAATCGGGGGTTTCATGAAGTGGTCTCATGTGAGATAAACCAAAGCCAGCCACTTTCGTGACTCCATTTGCGGTGATCGCGATGTTGCGACAACATAAACGTTTGTGAACAATCTTCTTGCTGTGAAGATACTCCATGCCTCGAGCGATGTCCACACAGGTTTGCAATATTTGGTTTTCAGTTAGGAGACAAAATTTGTTATTCTGGAGGTCTCGTTGTCTACTCTGCAGTAACATTCCTTTTAAGGGCTGTTTACAATCGTGGAGCATAACAAATAGTGTTGTGTTAGTTTCACAGATTCCAATCAAGGAGATGACATTTTCATGCTCACTTGATTTAATAAGTATATCCAATTCCTGTAACATGAGTCTCTTGTCAGGTTTCTCCAACTCCCTGTCTGATATCACCTGGACGAATCCTGTAGTCTGTGCCCCATGTTGCTGTACTAAGCCTTTTGTGAATTTACCATAGCTACCAAGTCCGACGACACAAGCTATGTCAATTTCCAGGAGGTTACGAGGTATGTTCCATAGCTTACGTTTCAGGTTGCCATAGTAGTCAACTCTTTCATCTTCGTCTTGAAGGAATCCGGAGTTTTCTATCTCAATACAGGGTTCACTTAAACTTAAGGGGAGTGATTGGGAGCCACGTTGCATCCGTGCTAGTTGGATTTTCTTGCGAAGTATGATGAGGAGACCAACACCAATTAACAGTAGTACCACGCCAATAGCAATGGCAGCACCCAATGCTACCACCATTGGAGAAATCTCTTCGGGTTCATTGATATTCAAGATGATCTTTTTAGTTGAATCTGCATACCTCACTTTTCGAATATGGCCTTTAATACTGACAACACCAAGGGATACATCAATATCATTGGTCAGAGGCAGCGGTGCATTATAAAATCCATTATACGTACTCCGGTCCCCAATTACAAAGTCCTGCTTTATATCATTGGGGTCTAACTCTGCAGTGATATAGTATGGGAGGCCTTGTTCATGTGCATATGAGTAATTACTAAGATTTTCAATAAGAAATCCTTGTTGGTACAATTCAACGGAGACAACAATTCTGTACATTGATACTGGACCATTATTGTTCTTAGCTTCAGGGATATGTACGAGCATTCGATCGCCATGTCTCTCCTTCACATCTACATCTGGGGGACTGGGGTCTGGTGTGCCAATCACTGTAGTAACACTGACTGTGACATTAGGCCCCTCCTCGTCATGATTAGTGGCTGCTACACTGACATTGTACAAAGACCCTGGATGCAAGTTTACTAACACAAACTGGTATGTACTATTTGAGAGCCTCCATTCAAAAGGTGGTAACGGGTAATCTGCATAACTTTCTAAAGGTGTAGCTCTCACCACATAACCCGTAATAATTGAATATGCCTGGGGTATGGTCCACTGTAAACGGGCCGTAGTTTCTGTGAAGTTCGACACATCTAACGTAGTAGGTGGACCAGGGGCTCTCACATCCGTATCGTAAACACTGCCAGCGTTGTCCCCACCACACTTTTGAGTTTCATTCTTAGGGCACGGCGTATCACACAAGTCTAACGAAATCCTGAATTGACCAGGAATATTACCGCAAAAACAGGTGGATTCGTTACCGATGAGTGCGTATTTGTAATAAACTTGCTCGCAAGCCGACAGGCACACGTCCACAGATTGTCCTGTGTGAGTATTCAATAGATCCTCGATTTTAAATCTGTAGCAGCCAATGTAGTCGCCGCGATCACATTTGCAGCAACCGATGAATAAAATTAGTACTAGGAAGGCGTTAATACATCGCTTACCCATTGTAATTGTATATCACCATTGACTCATCGCACGGCTAAAGCGTATAGTTGTTTTTAAAGTCAACACTCCTTGAAGCAACTAACCATGTATGAAAAGTCGAAAGTTTTAATTATCTTAAACTTTATAAATAATATGTTCTGTTAAATTATACGTAGTCACCATAAAATACTATAAATTATATCAATAAACGAATCACAACAACGGAAAACGTTCTATTTTGTTTGACTGAGCTGAGACTGACGTGGTGTAAGACTTGCAGAACTGACGTATAGCTAAACGGTTAAGACCAAAAAACCAGTGAAAGTAGTGATGCGATTAAATACTTAATCAATTCGTTAATCCACTTGGGTATTTCTGAAAGATAGAATGCTAGTATAATACGGTGAAATACTGTTCAAATGGAAAATTTATGTTAACAACTCTAAATATAAGTTTTTAGAACAAAAAAAAAAAAAAAAGAATAAACAACATATAGGTACATATATAAAAGTTAAGTAGAAGTAGAAGGGACAAAAAGATAAGCTGTTGTTGTATTAAATAAAATGTAGAATTATTTTAGTCTTACATTTGAGTGAATAATATTATGCAAATGACGTTTTTAACTTACTTCAATATATTACCTCATTTTCTTGAAATAAAAGTACTGACTATTGCAAGTCTGCACTACGAAAGTATTAAAATTGGTGTATACTGAAAAATACGGTTCCTGTTATAACTTGTTGCAAGTCACTGGCATTAATTATATAGAAAAATATATAATGTATATGTCAATATAATGTACATTAAATAAATAATGAAATGGCCTATATCTTTTACAAAACGTACGTCTTTATCAATAAACATATTGATACAATTACAAAAAATACATTACACATTTAAAACATTTGTAGGAAAGCTTTTCGAACACAATCGATTGATTTATCCAAATATCGATTAAAGATCGCTACATGAAAATGACATCAATCTAGTTGTCAGATTATGACGTGACAGTTAGTATTTCAGTTACCGATTTCTAATTTTTAAAAAATCTGAGCGTTATTTATTTTCATCAGTTTGATGCAAGCAAAATATTATTTGACTTTAGAATTGTGTGAAAAATATTATTGCTATATTTAAAAGTGACAAATACATAATTAGAAAATGTCCACTAGATCCGGGAAACGTAAGTACCGAGAACAATTTATTTTGTTGTTTATTCATTCAAAGTATTATAAATATTAAATTACTATTACAGTTTAATCAATTGAATCACGTAATAAATAATTATAATAATCCGTCCCAGTGTCGTACCCAGCCCAAAGTTTCCCATTACGCTTGCAGCGTTTCCGCCCTGAATAGCAAGAGAATTTCTTCAGATATGATAGGAGTCAGATACGATCCGGAACTGGCATCCTGGCCAGTTGTTTTATAAAAAAATCATTCAATTACTTAATAGTTTATGAATTTAAATTTAGAATTTATATTACTAGTTTATGAATTTGAAATTGAAATCTGTTATTGCAGGGATCCACGGGTCATTTCATGACAATGAACAAATTGTTAATACTGAATTTGTTGCTAAAACGGAAAGAAAGACACGAAACAAACGACAGAAGGAGAATGCAGAAGATACTGTACTGACAACAGCCAAGAAGTCGAAGAAACGTAACAACTATGTCAGTTATCCAACAGACGATGAAACAGCGGCCGAGATGGGCGTCTCCAATGAAATAGAGGGCCATAAGCCTCGAGTATTGCGGAGCAATATGTTAAAAGAACAGGATTTAAATGTGTCCAACAGGGAGGTGGAAACTGTTAAAACAAAAAATATACGCTCCACAAGGCGGACTAGAAAATTTTCAGAAAACATTTTGGAAACTGTTTTCAAACAAGCAGAGAAGGCTCATTTAGATGTGGAACTGGAAAATAATGAAACAGGCATAGGTAAAGCTAAAAAGAGTAAAAAGAAAAAGGCAAAAGAGCACATGGAAATTGATGTGAACGAAGGTAAGATTGTTTCTAAAAAACAATCAAAGAAGAGACGGCAGAAAAGAACAAGTACAAATGATGCCAATGCTAAAAATAATAGTCTTAACAGGAGTGACTCATCGAATGGCTCTTATTATAGTGCTGCAGGCAGCCCACCATCAGTTCATAGCGATGGACACAAAAAAGCTAATTCAAATATCTCTGAATTAGATACAAATACAGAAATAGAACATGTCGAAATTATTTCTAAAAACAAAAATAAGAATAGAAGTACCATTAAAAATATTGAGGTCTCCATAAATAAGAATGAAGTTGAAGATTCTAATAAAAATTGCACATTTCAAGAAACTAAGTCTGACCATTTAAATGATACATTTGATAAAGAAACAAGGAAGAAAAGAAAATCTAATATACAAAATGGTATTTATGAGGCTGATATATCAAATAAGTCTCATTCTGGAAGACTTAAGTCAAGAAGTTCAGATGTTTATGAGAAATTAAATAATACATTTGATAAAGGCACTCATGAAAAGTTTTTAAAATCAGATTTAGATAGGAAGTCCCAAAATAAAACACATGAGAACTCAATTGAAGAAAGAGAAATCATTAACACACCTTCTGACAAGGCTACAAATAAACGAAAGTCTCTAAGATCCAATTCAGAGGTGTTCAAATCACTTAATAATACATTTGACAAATCAGATAATAAAGAATTGGTAATCTTTAACAGTACTTTTGAAAAAGACAATGGCAGCAAGAATAGTACACTTGAAAATGGTAGTAAAAACTTTGCAGGAAACCTTAACACAACTTTTGAAAAAGTTGATAATGATATATCTGAAAGGCTTAACACTACCTTTGAAAAAGACAAGCCAGTTACAGAAGCAATAGAATCAGGACTTAATACAACAAACACAATAAACAATACATCTGAGGAGTCTACTGATAATCAACTTAAAATTAACACAACTTTTGATAAAGAAGAAACTAAATTGAACTCAACATTTGACAAGACCACTCCCAGAAACAGTATCAGGAGACATTCAAAATCATCACTGATCACTTCTGATGACACAGACAACCTGACCTTTGACAAATCAAACGATAATTCCAGAATCAGTGTGAGTGATGACTCTGGAACGGAAAACATTGTGAATACTACACCTGTATTGATTGAAAGTAGCATAGATGAATCAAGAACAAACAGTTTGACAGATTCTTCTAAAAAAACATCTGATGTGCCTATAACCCCTTTGAAAAGGGAGGGAACATTTACTAAAGATGATCCCAAGTTTGCCAATAAAGCTACAGATTCACCGAAAAGAACCCCATCGAAACGTATAACTCTATCCACACCAGGGTCTACTCCATTCCCCTTCTCTAAGAGCTCTGAAAAGGAAAAGAGCAGGCTGAATGTAACTCGGTCTATCGAGAGGGCAGCAAGACGGTCATTATCACTGGACATTCCCTCAAATGCCGCTTCGAGGACCACCAAAGTGATGTTCTGCAGTCCAGTCAACAATCCTGCTGTTGTACTGCAGCAGAGAAGAAAAGTTATAAAATCAAATTTAAAAGGATCTAATAAGAGTTTTGTTTTTAATGAGGATGGTAAGTGAATCATTAATTACTTAGTACTACCTGCAATTTCATTGCCATGAAACCACCAAGCATCAGTCTAGCGGTTTCCATCACTATACTTCGCTTCGGATGGTTGTAGGTACCATTCCTCACAATGCTAACATTTATAATCATGAGTATGATTGTTTGTGTTGTTCAGGGTATTTTTTTTTATTCTTGATAATGGAATGGTGCACCTGCCTGCGCTGGCGGAGCACCAGTGATGGATGATATGATGAGCATGACGTCAAGTCAGTTAGCCCATCGTGACAGATTAATGAGGAATTTATCACGACGGTTTCCAGGGGGAACCGCGTGGAGGTCAACCTGACATGGTACATTGCTAGCAATGGGGTCAACAGTCCTCATTACTAACAATCCCCTTCCAGAGGATTGTTCAGGGTATTTTCTATATGTATTTGTATGTATTTTAAAAAATATTTCTATAACTTGTCTAGTACCTCTAACACAAGCTCTGCTTAGCTAAGGACTAGAAGCTGGCGCTGTATGAATTGTCCAGGGCTATTATGACTATAATTGACTACAATAAGAGTACACTTTTGTGGTTTAAGTCATTTGCAGAAAGTCAGTCAGATGGATATCTTCAATAGGATACGTTTTTCCATTTGTATTGTACTTGACCCACGCGACTTCGTCTGCATCACACTTATCATTATATATCGCCCAATTACATAATATCTTATTAAATTATAGCCTATGTGTTATTCTGATGTATAAGCTATGTTACTGTAAAGTTTCATCAAAATCCGTTCAGTAGTTTTTGCGTAAAAGAGTAACAAACATCCATCCATACACACAAACTTTCGCATCATTATATAGTATAAAACAAATCGTTGTTGCTGTCTGTCCGTCCCTATGTATGCTTAAATATTTAAAACTACGCAACGAATTTTGAATCGGTTTTTTTTAATAGATAGAGTGATTCTAGAGGAATGTTTATATGTATAATACATGTACACCCGTGCGAAGCCGAGGACGAGTCGCTAGTTTATAATATTAGGAACATTAAAACAGTAACTATCCCGAATTATAGCCTCAGAAATAAAGCTATAAATATTTTTGAGTAACATTGGTGAAATAACATGCTCTGTAAAGGCAGCAAGAATTAAAGACAAAAAAAGAAGTATGACATTAACATATAGTTTATTGCAGAGAGTGCGACCCGGGCGGCGCCCCGCAAACGCTCGTACACGCAGAACGATGCGGATGACGAGCGAGCCAAGAGAAAGCGCCTCGCAGATGACCAGCAGTTGTCCGTGAACAGGCTGTCGCGGCCCAGGACTCCCAGCGCTACAGGTAAATTAAGACAAATTGTAGGGCTTTCTTAAAAATAATGATAATGTAATAGTGCACTAACGCTGTAGCGAAATGCAGTAAGTATACATGATCTAAGTTTATAGGTAACTAGCTTTTGCCCGCGGCTTCGATCGCGTTAATTTATCGCCATAGGGGTGGAATTTATCAAAATTCTTTCTTAGGGGATGCCTACGTCATAGTAGCTTTATGCATGCAAAGTCTCAGCCCGATCAGTTTAAAATTGATAAAGTTTCATACAAATTTTGATCACCTATTTTATCCCCTTGGGGGTAGAATTAATCAAAATGCCTCTTTAGCGGATGCCTACGTCATAACATCTGCCTGCATGCCAAATTTCAGCTCGATCCGTCCAGTGGTTTGGGCTGTGCGTTGATAGATCACTATGTCAGTCACCTTTGAGTTATATATATAGGTAACTGTAAATTTGATCAGGCAAAATTTTATTTAAAATATACAAACATTGGGGTAAAGAGATTGTTAGTATATGAACTAACTATCTACTTGACGACCTCGGTGGTCTAGTGGTTTAGCACACCGCTTTACGTCCGATGGTCGCGGGTTCGATTCCTCGCACGGCACAAACATTTTTATTCACGAGTATAATTGTTTGTGTCGGTCTAAGTATTTTCTATGTATTCCTATGAAAAAAATCTATGTATTTGTATCAGTTATGTAGTACCCATAACACAAGCTTTAGCTAACTTAACTTGGGTCTAGATGGCGCTGTGTGAATTGTTATGAGATTATTTATTTGTATATAAATAATTACTCCATTTTGCTTCTGGCTTCAGAAATGCTGATTCCTTGAGAACTATAAAGAAGTAAATGCATATGTAGGTTTTTTTTTAATTTCTTCCTCAATAATGTGTTTACTTTCCCTTTTTTTTACCTCTATGTGGTAAAAAAAAAAGTAGGCGATAGCAGTGTTCTTATACTCCTTCGCCAATAATTTTTCAAGACAGAAAAGAGTCACTAGTTACGTGACTCAGGGACGGTTTGGTACGGCGATGTAAAAGTTATTGGAACAGACCAGTGTTGTCAGTTTCCTTCTAAGGGTCTAAAATTCTCCCAAAATTCAAGTTTCAATTCAATTCAAGAATAGAATAGAAAATCATTTGTAAACATAAACTTAATTTAAGCAGTTTTGAATAGTCATAATTTTTTAACTACCGCTCATTCGGAAAAATGTCTCATCACAAGAAGAACGAGCAAGAAACTTGTGTGTTGCTCTTTTAAATAATCCTTGTAAATTTACACTTATAAGTCGAAACTTGTGAATACAAACTACCAACCAGCACTAATTTATTTGGGTCAAATATAAATATACAATAAGATTAAATCAGTCGTAGTGATAAGAGCAGACCAGACATGAAGTAACATCTCCCAATATCTTTATTAAATATCCACATATTTCTTAGTATTTAACTGAAGGATAATCTTTTTTAGTCCGCTTGTTTTATCATAATTGTTTACGGTTATTTTTTTTATAAATCAATAATAATAAATACAATATCTCTTGCAACTCACACAGCGCCATCTAGTCCCAAGCTAAGCAGAGCTTGTGTTATCAGTACTAGACTACTGGTATAAATACATAGATACGTTGTTTTTTTTTGTGAATTCATAATATACATGGAAAACACCCAGACCGATACAAACAATCATACTCGTGAATACAAATATTTGTATAGTGCGAGGAATCGACTTCGCGACTATCGGAAGTAAGGCTGTGTACAAAACTGCTAGACCATCAAGACCGTTAATTGATTAATAAACTTGATTACCTTCTACAAGGATGTCAATAATCCCCCTTCATTCCTTCGCCCCATCAGTACCTTCCTCCCAAATTTCGCCACATAATCTCCCGAAGTTTTGGGAGTGCAGCCCCAATCTGGCATCACTAATGAAGAATAACAAAGTAAGTTACGCTATGCGGCGTTACCTAACTCGCTTCGAACTTACAAGTTAGCACGATATCTTACAAATACATGCACTGCGATATACTAGAAAAGATAAGTGTTAGTACAAGGTTATTCAGGACATCTTGACCCAACTTTGATGGAAAACTTTTGAGTAGATGTAGCTGAAACTAATAACTTTGTAGTCCATATATATCTCTGATCGACTCTCCGATTATTGGAGTGTCGGTAACAACCAAAATCTACGGGCTACCTTTTACCATCGCACCGCTCGCCATCGAAAGGGAATTCATCCACACAACCTGCAACCTAAGTGGTGTCGGACAGTACGGTTTTAGAAGAGCTACCTTCCGCGCACACTTAGATTGTGGAATAAATTACCTGCCAAGGTTTTATTGCGAGACTACAGTACGGGGTGTTTCAAGAAGGGTATATTACTTAAGTGTCGGAACTTCCTGGTGTTTCAGGTGTCCATTAGCCTATGGTATTCGTTTACCATTGATCATTGATCTTATTTCCTCTATCTATAACTTCTGAATGAATTCTGCCGAGTACTTCGGAATGAACTTCCTGCCGAGGTTTTCCCACGAGACTACAGCATGGGGTTTCTCAAGAAGGGTATATTAAGGTTTCTTAAGGGTCGCCAACGCGCAAGTGATACCCCTGGTGTTTCAGGCGTTCATAGGCTACGGTAACCATTTACCATCAGATGGGCCGTATGCTTGATTGCCACCATAGTAGTATAAAAAAAAAACATGAAGCTGTTTCAAAAACAATCATTTTATTAATATTTAATGTATTTATGTATATGCTTAGGTCGTTATGTATTTATATAGTTATATACATAATAATAATAATAATCTCATGACAATTCACACAGCGCCATCTAGACCCAAGTTAAGCTAGCTAAAGCTTGTGTTATGGGTCCTAGACAACTGATACAAATACATAGATATTATTTGTTTTTCGTAAATACATACATACTATACATAGAAAATACCCAGACCGATCAAACAATCATACTCATGAATACAAATGTTTGTGCCGTGCGAGGAATCGAACCCGCGACCATCGGTCGTAAAGCGGTAGACTAGACCGCTAGACCACCGAGGTCGTCATATATTTGCTTTAATATATTTAGTATAGTATTTTTTTATATATGTATTTTAATATGTAGATTTATTAACTGTACATAGTAATATTCTATTTGTGTATTTAGAACTCTTGCACTACCATTATCCGCTAAATATGTCCACAGTCACAGCGTTAGGTTCGCTGGAAGAGATCTCTTTCAGAATAGAATAGAATAGAAAATCATTTATTCAAATAAACTTACGTTGAAGCACTTTTGAATAGTCATCACATTTTTTTAATCTACCGCTCATTCGGAAAGCTGTATCATCACAAGAAGAACGAGCAAGAAACTTTTTCTTTTTTTAATAATGCTTTATTCATGACCATGGATACAAGTCCAGTCAGTCGAATACATTTAATAATGAATTGAATACAAAACATAAAAATTAAAACATTTGCTGCTGTGTGTGTGTTGCTCTTTCAAATAATTGTATTCTTACTTTACAATTTAAGTTTTAGTGTGTGAATACAAACTACGTTTTTTTTTGTATATGATAATGAAATGATACACCCACCTGCGCCAACGGTTTACGCTGGCGGGGCACCAGTGGAGGATGATAAGATGAACATGAAGTCGGGGCCCAGTTGGACGGTTTTTGCCCATCCAGATGGTCGGCACAAATTCACCCATCTCAGAATATTATCACGTTGGCAGGATACAGTTTCTAATAAGTTTAGAACGGATTTCGTACGAGTTAAGTGCTAGTAGCTTCATGACCATGGATACAAGTCCAGTCAGTCGAATACATTTAATAATGAATGATCAAAACTACAAATTACTAACAATCTCCTGTGTGTGTGTTGCCTTTCAAAATGCCTTGTGTTTTTGTGTGAATACAAACTACGTGTATGATAATGGAATGGTGCACCCGCCTGCGCTAACGGTTTACGCTGGCGGGGCACCAGTGGAGGATGATAAGATGAGCATGAGGTCAGATCAGTTAGCCCATCGTGACAAATTCACCAAGAATTTATCACGATGGTTTCCAGGGGGAACCGCGTGGAGGTCAACCTGACATGGTACATTGCTAGTAATAAGATGATCAATCTACATTACTAACAATCTCCTTTCCCCCCGGAATGCCTTGTGTTGGGTTCATTAGATCACACAGTCGATGACTGAATGCCTCTGACCATCTAAACCAGTGGTCTTCAAGTTTTTACAAATAAAGGGCCAAATAAATTTTTTTTCTGCATAGCGGGGCGCATCATACTATATAGATATATCATAGATAATAAATAAAAAAATCTTTATAAAAATATTATAAAGATTTTTTTATTTATTATTAAAGGTACTTTTTATTACTTAATTGTCGTCGTTATTGAGAGTGGGCCTATGCTGTTGGCGGGCCGCAGAAAACATCGGCGGGCCGCAAGCAGCCCGCGGGCCGCAGGTTGAAGACCTTTGATCTAAACTAAAATAACAGCCATAACACTTACTATTGTATTTAACATGTGGACATATCTGTGATGTACAAACAGACAAGCACTAAACCGAAAGCCCTTAACTCCCCACTAAATCCTTTTATTGTACATATAAATAATTTTATAGTCCCAATAGCGATATCACATTCGTGACTAGCGATATCGTTTATGATAAAACTCGCTGTTCAACGACACAACGAATCCAATCGTAAAAAACTTACGTTTTTTATGACGGGATTTTATTGATTGATTACCAGTATTACGATTTTTTTACGAAACCAATATGATTATTACGTCATGAGTAAGCTCTTTGATCTGGCTTCAAATTGAAGTTCAAAATATCTTTATTCATGTAGGTCTATTTTGTATATTTATTTATGTAGGTCTATTTAGTCATATTTTGATTCTACCACTCATTCGGAATGCAGATTCATCACAAGAAGAATGAGTGAAATGTAAAGACGTCAAATAAGTGTGATGCAGACGAAGTTACGCGGATCAACTAGTCAAATTAAAATTCAAAATATCTTTATTCATGTAAGTCTATTACAGACTCTTATGATATGTCAAATCTACTTGATTGATTTCGAGATGAGAACTGAAAATAAATTCAGCTCGTATTTTTTTCAAATAAATGTACATGTTTACAATAATAGGTACAGATTCATTTATAAATACAGATTTAGGAATTCTTCGTTCTCATTTCATTATCTTCATCACCCTTAGGTAAGGATTACCAATCCATTATTATCCATTAAAATCATCATCATCAATTCGTGAAGCCTGTTAAGAAAGAAAGAAGAAAGAAAGAAAAAAATATTTATTCAGTGCTTTTCAACAATGTTACAATATAAAAAACAAGCAAACGAAAAAAAAGATTAAATAAAATGTATATATAATTAAACTTAATTTACCATGTAGATAATACACCAGAAAGAAAGAAAGAGACAGAAAGAAAAATATTTTATTCAGTGCAATGTAAAAAATACAATATAAACAACAAACGAAAAAAAAGAGCAAATAGAATGTACATATAATTAAAGGAGGCTTCTGCGCTTGTGAGAGGAGCTTGGCTACCTGCTTTAGTAGTCTCGGCTCTACGCACAACGGCCCAGCCCAGAGAGGCTGGTTGCTGAGAATGGAGTCTAATTTACATTATTACATTCAACCATTAAAGTTTTCCAATGTGTTTGTTACACGGTTTCGTAAAACATTTTCTTATAGCATAAGGAACAAACAAGCTTGCATTTCACCAATGAGTGAACTGTACATGAAAGAACGGATAAAAAATGATAAATACTTGAAACAGTAGTAGTGAAAAGTCAAAAAAAATTCAAAATATCTCTATTCATGTAGGTCTATTACAGACTCTTATGATATGTCAAATCTACCATACCATATCATCAATTCGAATTTGAAAAGTAACAATTAATTAATGTGATAATTGTAAAATTATTAAAGACATACATTTGTTTATCCGTTGTAAAAACCCATAATTATTAGAATCTTTATCTCTCCTGTGTGGTGGCCCCACAAAATTTGTTAAATATCCGTTTTAGCTTTTAGCTTTTAAGTTGTATAGTATATAAGATAGATAGCATCTAAGAATACTGTAATAATTATATTATTAGTTTTGGGTAAACTACCCGTAGAAGAAAGTACAATAGGTACAGTATGTACAGTTTCAGGTCGCCATTGTTATTATTATTATGTGCAGGTAAACCAGAACCGACCACACCGTCAAAGAGCATCCCAACGCCATCAAAATCGAAGTCCGATACCAAGATATCGAGAACCAAACTGCCCAACTTCGCAGCGCTGCACCAGCGCAGATTCGAGAAGATGGAGTCCCTGGACGAATGCCAGGAGAGGAAGGCAAAGAGAGCGCGGCAACTGCTGGTGCCGACCGCTCCCATCACGGTCCTGGAGAGAAGCAGCCCCAGAGGTAAGTCATAAAATTATCTTAAGGTGTTTGGAGAGAGAAAGGACATTCTATTTCTTCTTGTCCTTTGACATGTTACATGGTTTCAGGAAGTAGGACAAGGAAGGACATACATGGGATGAGTATGCGTGAGTGAGACAGATATGCACAGTAAAACGCGCGCTTATGTTTCTATTAATTGGTAGTTAAAAATGAATGAACGAATGCGCGGCTGCGTGTGAGTGAAATAAGTATTGGTCGAACTATCGCTGCGTAAGGAAAGTATAGTAAAAATGAAATAATGTTACGTTTCGGCGTATAGAAAGAATACGTCTTTTGTGACTCTTTTATGGAAAATGTGTTTTATTTATCACTTACAAGTAATGCTATTTCAAGTAGAGCCTACTTTTAATAATAGGCTCCCAACCAATCGATCCGCCGTCCAATTCAAAATTACGACGGCCTGAGCCGACCTTCAAACCTCTAGTGGTGCCCTCACACTAAAGTCGTATCCGTCACGCGGGAGTTGGCATTCAGCCGCTCCATAAATTCTTCCTTTAGTTTGGAGTGCCATCTGCACTCGCCTCCTATCGTCCGGTGATGCTGTAAGGGCTGTGACGAACAGCATTAAAGTGGCCGGAAAAATAAATTGCAGAAGGTGCAGCTTGTGGGGACTGGTCTGTTTGGGTTACGAACACTGATTAGACTATTTTTTGACAAAATTGCAATAGGATATGCTGGTGGTCACTCTATTCTCCCAAATATTGTAAACATGTACAAGCTCATTCGAAAAGAATACAAGCTGAGTTTCTTGTCAGTTCTTCTCAGCTCGAAAGAACACTGAACTGATGGTAGATTTGACATATCATAAGTCGTAATAGATCTACATGAATAAAGATATTTTGATTTGATTTGATTCGAAATATAATAGCGTATTCATGTAGAATTAGTGAAGTGCAATAATCCTGTATATGAGAGGGATGCGGATTGTTAGTAATGTAGATTAATAATCCCATTGCTACCATGTCAGGTTGACCTCCACGCGGTTCCCCCTAACAATTATTCCCTGGAAACAATGTTAAATTCCTGATGCGATAAATTCCTCCACTGGTGCCCCGCCAATTAGTATTATCTGCCGCTTCTTTTGTGGCGCCATCCTTTTGGCCTATTTTAGCTTATACCGTTAGCGCTGTGATTATTATTTATTGATTTTATTATAAATATAATAATTATAATATATATCAATTATTATCAATTATTTTGATAATAATCATATAGATTCTATTATCAAAAACTCCTGCATATGGAGTACCAAACTACCTTCAAATAAAGACACTTGGCGGTGATCTCCGGCTGAACGACCTGACCTCGTGTTCATCTTATCCTCCACTGTTAAACCCTTAGCGCAGGCGAGTGCACCATTCTATTATTGTTCCTTTAAAAAAAACTCCTACATATAGTGTACCGAACAACCTTCAAATAAAGATACTTGGCGGTGATCTCCGGCTGAACGACCTGACCTCATGTTCATCTTATCCTCCACTGGTGCCCCGCCAGCGTAAACCGTTAGCGCAGGCGGGTGCACCATTTATTAATTCATAAAAAAAAACAATAGCTCTTATCAATACGTACGTACTATCGGATATTCATTGCACACAAGTACTAGTTTGTTTATGTATCTGTCACGTCATAATCGATTTTAATAATCTACGATGATAGTAGGTTTTTATGTATTTTGTCCGGCTGTGTTTATATTCTGACAACGTTATGAGCTAGGCCATTGTCATTACACTACAGTGAAATAAAATAGAATAGAAATTATCTTTATTCAAATAAACTCATTACAAGCACTTTTGAATAGTCATATTTTGATTCTACCACTCATTCGGAACGCAGATTCATCGCAAGAAGAATAAGAAAGAAACTTGTGTGCTGCTCACACGCTGCTCACACAATAACAAGTTAGATGCATGCGATAATCAATATAGGAACAGATACACGCTCATTCTTAGTGCAATGAGAGCAAACTAAGAATGAGTGGGTAACAGTTTCTATGTTATCAGCAATACCGTCTTTACCAAAGGGCACACAGGGCCCGTGCCCAGGGCCCATTCTCAGGGGGCCCCCGAAGGACTGTCAATTTTTCTCACACATTTATTCTCAAAAGATTTTTGTCGGGCACACTACACTTTTTTCACAAATCAGTAATGTTATCAAAAGATATTTACAAGGCATATACTACGCCATTATACCGATTACTTCGCCTATTCCTATGTTCTTGTACCTATACCTAATGAGCTTTTTTTTACTTTCTAAAAGGGCCTCGAATTCTTGTGTGCCCAAGGGCCCCAGCCTAGTTTAAGACGGCGGTGGTTATCAGATAATATTGTCAGCGCTATGAGTTTTAAGATATTTCTATAAAAACATTATTGTCATTTACTGATCCAATGATCTGGACCAGTGGTTCCCAATTAGTTTTTGCTGCGTACCACTTCAAAAAGACCTCAAACGAAGTATTATTGTAGCAATCACGCTAATATTATAAATGTGAAAGTTTGTATGTTTGTTTTGCTGATAGCCGCACGTATCCCCCCTTGATGCAACTTCACGGGGTACGTAAGGGTACGCATACCACTAATTGGGAAATACCGATCTAGACCAGAGGTTGTAAACCTTTTTTTATGTAATCGTAAATATTAACAATTAGCTTGTTAATCTGTACGTTTACATTTTTATACAGTTTACGGGCTCATCAGATACGTTTTTTTAATATTCATGATAATTGAATGGTGCATACGCCTGTACTAATGGTTCCCGCTAGCGGGGCACCAGTGGAGGATGATAAGATGAGCATAAGGTCAGGTCAGTTAGCACATCGTGACAAATTCCATTAAGACATCATTTTTTTTTTCTCGGCTCTCACCGGTAATTTTGGTATGTACGGGCCTAAGTAAAGTACATAGCAATGTTATATTATATAGTATATGTACTATAAATAAATTTATTATTATTATTATATGCTATACTGTCACTATTGCACTGTTACCATTCATAAAACTATTATATTTTCCCCACCAGGATCACTTACCAGCTCGGAGCCGCTGTTACCCAAAGACAAAAAGCCAGATCAAACAGTCACAAAAAAATTGGAGACCCCAACGAAGAAATTGCCCACTCTAGACTCTCTGAAGCCAGGCTACACAAGATTCGGCTTCAAAATGAATGTAGAAGTCAACCCATTCAGCATTCCGACCAAGATTGAAGTGAAACCAAAGGAAAGTAAACCTAAAGGCATTGCAAGACAGGTTACATTACCTTCTCTAACCGGCACTACTAGGAGAGAAGCCGCGAAACAAACGGTCATGAGGGAGAAGTCGTTCTCCCAAGCGACAGAGAAAAGAGATGTGAAGAGAAAGGAAAGTAGATCTATAATTAAAGGCGTCAGGACAAACAGACGGTTCGATTTGCAGATGAAAATGAGGAATATCAATTGATTATTAATATAATAAATGAAGTAGTAACTTTAACAATAACTTTGTGATGTAATAAGAACTTATAGCGGGAACTCCGTCATGTAAGTATTTTAAACATGCGTAAGCAGGAAATATAAATTCTTGTTTTTGATTATGGATTAAAGGTGTTTCTAATCTATACATATAAATAAAATTGGAGTGTCTGTTTGTAATATTGAAATAACAGTTTTTTACTACATACATATAAATACGGTACATACACCAAAATAACATTTTTTACAATTTTTGTCTGTCTGTCTGTTGGTTCCGGCTAATCTCTGAAATGGCTGTACCGATTTTGACGGGACTTTTTTTGGCAAGTAGCTGACGTAATAAGGAGTAACTTAGGCTACTCCTTAGGCCTATGCACGACAAGTATCTGCAGATTCTGCCAAACTGAAGAGGAAACGCCGCTTCACATCCTATGTGGTTGTAGCCCACTCATGCATAAACGAAATATCTCCTTTGGAAAGTTTACACTCTTTCCCGAGGAGATAAAAACGATCGCTCCTAAGAATATCCTTCAATTCCTGTCCCTGACGGGTCTAGGTAGCGAACTCTGAAAAGGGCGAGCACAATAGATCTATGTAGGTCGCAGTGCTACAGGTGCTACACATCTGACAATAGCCCAAACAATGCAATAAAAAAAAAATAGGCTACTCCTTATTACATCAGCTACCTGCCAAAAAAAGTCCGCGTCCGCATGGAAAATAAAAGTAGCCTAAGTTACTCCTGTAACTTAGGCTACTTGTATTTTCCACGCGGACGAAGTCGCGGGATCAGCTAGTATTTAATAAAGATATTGAGAGATGTTACTCCAAAACTTAAATTTTGGGCGAATTGTCCAAGGTTATTATTAGTTTACAAAGCAAGCTGTTTAATAGGACCTTAGTACAACGTTAAACACACTCTACCTCTACACAAATACCTATTGCATCTTTTAGGTGCCATATCATATAGTATATTATCTGGCGTTATTTCTGCAACATAATTTTAATGTACTTTATAGATACTAACATAGAATTGTATTTGATAATTTAACAGTATTAACTAATTTTGAATGTTATTTTTATGGTAGTTTATTAACTATTAATTATATTAGTTGTTATTGCGGTATACTATAAATATCTTCACGCCAGTTTCAGTTTGTGGTGTAAGTAGAGTCATATTTTGCCTATCTGTACAATTCTTGCTTCAATCACTTTCATAACATCTCTGTATAGATGCCGTTTCAATAGATAGATAAAAAAACTTTATTTGTATCTCACTACATATAGGCTTAATTACAAATAGTATAAAATACAGATTAGATGCATGTGCTAAATAAATAGATAAATTCTTTATTCACAATTACAGACACATAACATTCATGAGATACAAAAAAAACACGAATTAATAAAAGAAATGTAGGTGACTTTATGTGCCGCAAAAGTTAATAGGTAGCCAACTCAGCATAATGCTACAGATAACTGCAGCGCTGATATTCTGTTGGCTACTTACTTATACTATACTTATTACTAAGAAAATACGATAGACTCTTAAACACTGTAGTCGACCATTTTCCCGCCAAATCACGATCAGCGCAGGTGTTTTTTTTTTAATTTTCGCTCCATAATTAGCCTCGGTAAAATAATCTTACGATCTATTTGCTATTTTCGTGTCTCTGCGCCTTACCCACTTCGCGCTACAGAACGAGTAGTCTCCCGCGTTTTACTATAAAAAGGGTATGATTAATTTACCCGTTTCCCGAATATAATGTGTTATTAGGAAGGAGCACAACACGTACTCCTTCATCCGTCATTAGATTGCCGAAATAATGTTAAACATTTTGCTCCTCCATTAGTTCATGTAGAGTCGGTTTTTAACTCTACCAGCACCTGTATTCTTCCACTGTTGCATTGTACATCTGTTTATCTTTAATCCGATTAAGTTGTGCTTAACAATTTTTACTTTTAACTTCCACTTGCTCATTTAAATCTATATTTTTTTTATACTACTATGGTGGCAAACAAGCACACGGCCCATCTGATGGTAAATGGTTACCGTAGCCTATGGACGCCTGAAGCACCAGGGGTGTCACGTGCGCGTTGCCGACCCTTAAGAAACCTTAATATAATTCTTGAAAAACCCCATGCTGTAGTCTCGTGAGAAAACCTCGGCAGGAAGTTCATTCCACAATCTAAGTGTATTCTGCCAGTCCTAAACTATAGATTGCTTATTTCTCATAATGCTACCTTATTTCTACCACATCTAACCATTTATCTTTTTAATCTTTCCTTATTCTTTTGTTGTATGACTGTATGTATTGACCAAGTCTATATTGTTTGCTTTACTTAGTAATGGATACCTTTCTAATAGCAGATTGTGTTACCGTCTCGACTAAATCACATACCTAACTTGACTTTTGAAGGACCAATACAGTATATGATAGTAAATTTATTATAGAAATAGAAATAATCTTTATTCAAATAAACTTAACACAAGCACTTTTGAATAGTCATATTTTGATTCTACCATTCATTCGGAATGCAGATTCATCACAAGAGGAATGAGCAAGAAACTTGTGTGTTGCTCTTTTGAATAGATGTTTTTATATAATAATTACAGTATAACAAGAGGCATGGGATAATCAACATAGAAATCACTACGCACTCGTTATTACTTTGCTGATCTCAGGGCAGGCCCTAAGATTAGATAGATAAGAGATAAGATTTTTAAATGAATGGCAAACAAGGTGACAGTTCTCCAGATGGTAAATGGCAAGTATCCCTTATATACATGATCGTCTCTTATCACATCATCATGTTATCATGTGACGCCCGTGGTATCACCAATAATCTAACTCTTAGGAATTATGCCTCGGTACCTTGTACTTCCTCTGCCTTATCTCATCCTTACAAGCTGCCTGAAATATATAGAAGCTGCTTGGAGCCTGAAATGGATGAGAACCATTTCTTTTCTCTACTCATTACTGCTGTACACTTAATGAACGTATTCTTAATAATAATATCTAAATTGCTACCACATTTAACCTTTTAAACTTTCCTTGTTTCTTTTGTTGTGTATGCTATGATATATGTATAGGGGTATTGCCCAAGTAGTCAGTCAGCTGGGTATATTTTGTAAGAAAAGGAGAGCACGTATGCGGTACTTACCTTATCGCTCTATCCACTTTCTTACCTTACCTTTCGCATGTGCAGCCCGTATCCCTGCTAGAAAAAGTTTGCATGGATTTCATACAACTGCAATTCCCATGCACCACACCTAGACGTTTTAAACATACTTAAATCTCTATAATATCTACCGAAGAACAAGGCCGTTTGGTCAATGATACCTGTACCTGCTTATATTCCAAATTAAAAAAACAATATGTATCCTTGCTAGAAAATGTTTGCACAAATTTCACGCAACTGAATTCATCTGCATCACATCTAGCAGTTTCAAACCTACTTAATCTCACTACTAAAGAACTAGGCTGTTTAGTCAATGATACCTTTGCCTGCTTATATTGCAAATTGAAAAGACTACTTATTATCATTAGCGGCCATCCATAAGTTACGTCACGTTCAGGAATGGCGGGAATCGACAAAGTGTGACATTGTATAACGGGTTTAAAGAATTCACAAGTTTGTGAAGGAGACTTACATGGAAGGGAAAAAAATATTATATAAGAAAAATTACGTTCTTAAGCCGCTAAAAGGTCCTACATATACAGTGATTTTTGAATTTCAATTTGAATTTAGAATTTTTCACATTTCAATTGGTAGTATTAAAACATTTTTACTATTAAAATGTGAACAGTGACAAGTGACAAGTGAGGAAGTCAGTCATACTTGTTGTGACGTAAATTGTGGTTTGTCCCTCATATGGCGTGATGATAAATTTAATTAGCAATATCTAAAACCTCTAATTCGTAACACTAGGTTAGCTATAGTTTTTATGTAGAATAGTAATAACAAAAAGGACAAACATGTGACAAAACTAACTTAGAATTTAAAATGTTCAAAATAAAACTAATACATAGGTCATAAGTACATTCTGAAATAGCAATAAAATTGTTGTTAAATTATTAGAAAATACTAGAAGAGACAAACATCCTTGATAGAAAACTGTTACAGAAATTAAAATCTTCAAAACAAAACTGAAATCTAGATCATAAGTACTTTGAGTAGTTTTTGTAATGGCAAAAAAATTGTCTAATTGTACCCAACGATAAATATCAAATGTTGAAATCAAAGTTTATGTATTTAATAAAATAAACATATGATTAGATATAGAATGTGGTTTGTTTTACATTTATCATATTTTTCGCAGACTTTATAAGGTCTTTTTTTTTCTGGTAAGTTCTTTAACGGTCTCGGTGATAAAAATATAGAATGTGGTTTGTTTTACATTTATCATATTCTTTAGCAGACTTTATAAGGTCTTTGTTTTTTTTTCTGGTAAGCTCTTTGACGGCCTTGACCACGGCAGTTTAGCACACTGCTTTACTTGACTTTTTTTTTTGGTAAGTTCTTTAACGGCCTCAGTGGTCTAGCTTTTTAGCACACCGCTTTACTTTCTAAGGTCGTGGGTACAACTTCTCGCATTTGCAAGGTGCAAACATTTGTATTCATGAATATGATTGTTTTTATCGGTGTTTTCTATATATATTATGTATGTATTTACAAAAAAAGTGTAAGTATTTACGGCTGTTTTTTTAGTACCCAATAACACAAGCTGTATGTATTTACAAAGAATGCATCTGTCTTTGCAGTATGCAGTTTTCTAGTATAAATAACAGAAGCTCTGCTTACCTTGGGACTAGATGGCGCTGTGTAAATTGTCCAGAGTTATTATCTTTTACAAACATACCTACTACATTATGTTTATATTCGCATTGAAACATTTTGATGATAGATTATAAATACAATTTTTTACTCCTACATATTTATAAAGCGATAAACGATTATCTAACTAAATACCACATTAATAACAATGAACGGCCCGGTGGTTTAGAGGTTTAATACACTGCCTTACTTCCGATGGTCGTGAATTACGCACGGTACAAACATTTGCAGTCATGTTGATACAAACATATATATTGTCTATGACATAACTTTGTAATTGTCTATTTTCTCTATAATTGTCGTTGATTCCATATTGTAGTGTATCGATGACAGTTCACGTATCTATACATATAAATAGAATTGGAGTGTCTGTTTGTAATATTGAAATAACCGTTTTTTACTACTTGCATATGAATATAAATACGGTGCATACACCAAAATAACATTTTTTACAATTTTTGTGTCTGTTTGTTCGGGCTAATCTCTGAAATGGCTGGACAGATTTTAACGGGACTTTTTTTGGCAGGTAGCTGATGTAATAAGGAGTAACTTAGGCTACTTTTATTTTAGAAATATAATGTTAAATTCCACGCGGACGAAGTAGCAGGTATAGTTAGTATTAAATATAATTCATTTTTATTATTTATATTGTGTTATACCTACACATAGAATAGTTGTGTTTCAAACAATATTAGTCTTCTTTTTTCTACTAAGATTCTTTTGTATTTTAAGGGCAACACGCAAGTTTTTGCTCGTTCTTGTGACGAGACAGCTTTACTTTGAGCGGTACAGTAATCTA